CAACATGCAATTAAAGATGCAAAAAGTATCTGTTCATAGAAAAGATAACCCAAAGGTTACTGTTTTATTGCCCTTAAAACATAAATCACTTTGCATCTAATTTTTCTCTCATTCTAGCATTCTTTTCTGCTGTTTCAGCATTTTAAACCTCGCTTTGAATATGCTTTGCCATTCTGTTGGTTCCTTTACTAATGAGTTAAATACATCTCTGACAATATATACAGGCTGACTATGTATTTGTTTGAATATTGTTTTTAACTTCCTGGAAACTTATTTTGACATTTTTCTAAAATGGATTACTTTATTCAGAAAACCCTGTAGTAGCTATTGTGAGTTCAATTTACCTATAGTTGGCTAGTCCCATGCATCTTAGTATTTATATGCTTTTTTCTCATAATACACGATAAAAACAGAGTCCCCTTGAGAGGTAGGTCTTATCTTGAACTACGTGTCTCATACAAAAAGAACAAAATAGTGCCTGATGATTCGCTGGTGGGTAGGTGCTTGGTTTCTTAGAAGAGGTTAGAAAATTGCTTACATTTTATCTAGAAATGCTATTACCCCTCCCCCACCCCAGAAACAGCTTGTGAACTACACCACTCAAAAAACAGACTAGATTTGGGCCAGTTTTCCCTTTATAGACATCACATGCTCGAGAGCAAAAGCTTGAGTCCTGACCTGCGAGTTATAGTAGGCAAGTCCAGATGTCCAGTTTATCCCCTTCCAAGTTCCCAACTCCTTCTCTGTCTAGGAGTCTTTAATGCTTACAGGATCTAATTTGTTTACAGGGTCTAAATTTGGGAAGAGAGGCAGTGCTGAGTAGAAAGTGGACTTGCTGATTACATCGTCAAGATCCTATAATTATGTAGCAGCCGTAAAACCCAGGTATCTGTGTCCCTGCCGTCGTCCCCCACCCCCATAATGGGCCTCTGCTCCCCAATAGAGCGATAAGCACAGAGGTTCCTAGAAAACTGCATTTCTGAAGGATTCCAGACTCCTGCCCTTTCAAAAGAGCACTCCATCTACTTTTTTGCCACTTCATTTTATAACTTAAAAGATATAGTTTTATAACTTCAATAGAAGAAAGAAAACTTGACATTGTAGAATTTAGACCTAAAGCAAATAATAACGAAAGAGTGAAAGCCTTTCCTGTTTAAGTAATAGGTTGTATGGGCAGCGTCTGCACAATGATATTTTGAACGAAATGATACGTGTGTCCCATTTTAGTGTTTTGCTGCTGTAAAGAAACGGAAAAGTATATACTTCCACAGCCATCCTCCCACCCCAAGTAATTTGCAACATTTCTGTGTCTCAGAATATTACAGGCAGTATTTTGTTTAGAAAAACTTAATCCGCCAAGGGAGATTAAATTGGATTATCCCTGTAGAGAAGGCAGGAGGATTTTGAGAGTAAGGCATTATCCCAGTGAAAGGGGAAGAGAGAGAGGGAGAGAGAGGGAGGAAAGGAGAGGGGGGTGGAGAGAGAGAGAGAGAGAGAGAGAGAGAGAGAGAGAGAGAGAGAGAGAGAGAGTGTGTGTGTGTGTGTGTGTGTGTGTGTCTGTCGGAGGTGCCAGCCAGTGTGAAATGATGAGGACAAGCGTCTGGATTCTGAATCTAGATGTAATGCATACTGGCCGGGGCGAGGAGTGTTTAAAGACGGTCCTGGCCCTGATGAATCAGGCTGGGTGGGCATTAGGCAGTGTCTCATCCTCTTAAAAGCCTTCCCGCAAACTAAAGATGAGTAAACCACAGTTTGTTCCCTCTAGGTGACGATTCTCCCTCCCGCAAGAACTTCTGGAACGCAGACCAGCCTGATTTTACAGATGAGGCCGCGGACGCAAGGCAGAGCAGGGAGTGCTGCTTTCCTTGTAGGATTCTTGTTAAAGTTAAAGGAGCTGATTAAAGTGCGGAGCACTTTATGGTCTGAAACCAGACAAACGCTCAGTAAAAGGTCTTCATTATTATCATTATCTTGAACCCGTTAGTTATAACTGGGGGTGGAGGGACAAACCCCTCACAGAGAACCGGAAAGCTCTGCAAAAGAGGCGGGACGCGAGGACCTCATACTGAGGAAGGGGGTGGCGGGGGAGAGCCCACACTAGCTGTCAATCCAGCTCTCCCGGGGAGGAAGAGGCGGAGCCAGAGCCTCCCGACAGTCCCCGCTGCTCTGCTCCGCGCTCCGCGCTTTAACCCGCTCGGCTTCTCGGCCCCGCGCGTCTGTCCCCGCAGCATCGTCCTGCCGGAGAAATGGTCCCAGGTGCCAGCCCCACGGCCGTGAAGGTGAGATTAGCCATTCTGGCAGCTGCGATCCGCGCTGCCGGGTGCTCTCTCGCTCCCGCTCCGGGGACCGCGCCTCGGGGCGGTGCGCGCTGCCTGTGCGCCCCTGCGGCGGCTGGAAGGGTCTAGGGCACTGCACCCCGGGCGGGTTAGACCAAAGGCGGGGAGCGGGGGGAGAGGGAACGCTTGCAAACCTGCACTCTCCACCTTTGGTCTTTGCTCCCTGCCCGCACCGTGCAGGACGTGGGCAAGACCTTTGGGGAGGGGCAGAGGAACAGTGGGCCAGAGCCCCGCCGGCGCCCCAACCTTTCCCGGACACCACCCCTTTCCGCGGCGATGCGTCCGGCTGCGGCTAGCGGTGTGTCTGCAGCTGGCAGTCTCCTCGTGTCCTGTTGGACTCAGGCTTCCGCCCTGACTGCTCACTGCCCGCGGCCCACGTGGGAGAACTGCGTGCTTACTCTTTCACAAAGCTTCCGGCGTTTTTTTGTTTTTTTGTTTTTTTTTTTTCTTCCAAACCTAGGCCTTCCTTTGAAGTTTTCCCCTGAGGGTTTTTTTTTGTTGGGTTTTTTTTTTTTTTTTTTTTTTGGTTTTTTTTCACTTCTGCAATAAAGTGCAGAGCGACTCCCTGTTTGGAGGCCCTTACCTTTAAACTGCTTTGTTTGCAACCTTAAAAGTTAGAGATCAGTTTCCTTTTGCCCTCGGACTTCAGAGCTCTACGTACAAGAGACCATTGTGGGGTAGGATCTTTACCCTGAGGAGGGCATGAGTTCTGAAGGCTGTGCAACGAGCTTCCCTGTGGCTTTTAAACACTTCTTTCCTTGTTGGTGTCCGGGGAGAGGGTGCAGAATTACAGTGCTTACGGAAGAATTGTTGATGAAACTTGAGATCTCTTCTCAGCTGTTTATCATTGGCTAAGAAGTCAGTTAACTTGTTTGACTTTAGAAATTTTGGCGGATAGGATAAGGAGACTTGCCTCCTTCTCCGAGTAGCTCTTGGTTCCTTGCTTTGTGTTCACTTCTCCGGGGGAGAAAGCACATCTCTACAGTCAGTGCGTTATCAGCCAGAGTGATTAGTTTATTAGGCCCTTGCAGCTCTTAATGAGACAGTTATGAAAAGGAGTGGAGTGGGGAGTGTTCCAGTCACACTTATGAAACTCCATTTGCCATTTTGGAAAGAATCTTGCATTCAAAAATATTTTTAGAATGCTATTCTCTTACCAGTCACGGAGAACAAGGCAGAAATTTTTCTGAAGCTCATGTGCAAAGTAAGGGAGTTCCATAGGTTCCCATCTATAAATTGGAGATTTTACTGGAGGGTTTGCTGGGGCATTTAGAATTGCATTGTCTACCTGGCACATGGTTGAAACTTATTAAATAGTACTGCTTATATGTGTGAGAGCTGAGGTTAATTTTGAATATCTTTTCTCCAACAATGAAATTATGATAGGGATCATTAGGCCATGGCTTTCAGTGAGCAAGCAGGAAACTATCACCTTTTCCTTACAGGAATTTACTTAAAGTGATATTAAAAATAGAGAGATGGTATTTAAAAGTCTCATTTTAATCTGGTTCATCATCCTCCCTGCAACACAGTTTCTCTGTAAAATCAATGCAGTGTATTTCAGTGAAGAATGGGCACTGTGATTAGAGCCCTGATGTAAATATTGAATGATGTATATTTTTAGTCTTGGCGAGCTGCTGAATATAAAATTAAGAAGTACAAGTAGTGCTAGGCCTGCCTGCTGCTTTCTGTCTTTGAAGCTAGAAAGGTAACATCTTTGCTGTGGAGAATCCATGATGCCAATACCAAATTCCACAGACTGCTGTGGAAACATCCTATACAGAAAATGCAAGGTGCTAGTGTCTGGAGCAAAGTAGGCTAATAAAAACCTTATCCTATCCCGAGATTATGGAATGTAAAGCAGGAACAAACGTTCCTGAAGACCAGATAGCCACGCAAACACCTTTCTGTGGACATAAAGCTGAGGCCCAGAAAGGTCAACTGAGGTGTCCAGCATTACACAGTTTTCCCTAGATAGTGATACAGTTGGGCCTATAGCTTGGCATGCCACCAACTAGATGTCATGAGACATTTCTGAATCTGACATGTGACCTCTGTGCCCCGATTTATTGTATAAGTAAAGAGATTATGCAGCCTTAAGGAAGAGTGAATGTGGACTGAGTAAATAAAGCAGGTGGCCTCCCTGGATGCTCTCCCACTGGATGCTCTCCCAAAGTACTAACAACAGCCATTTTCTGGGAAGACCTCCAGCATCAGCTATGGCAGGTGTTACGCTTGACCACGCAGAAGGCTAAATGGGTCTTTGGCATCCAGGAAGGGCATTCTCGAGGCTTCCTCCAACAGGCTGGGGCTCTCCCTGGCAGCTTCCTAGCTTTGCTCTGGGGGATCAAAAATAAGTAAGTCTTGTTAATCATGGTTGATTTGGTTATGGCTGTGACACGGAGGGGATATGGGCCAATTGTGGGTGGGTAGTACCATCAACAGAATGATGTTAAGGGGGATGGGTAAGTCATGGAGTCTAGACTGTGGAGAATGGGCCTCTTAAGCTCTCCTCTTGGCTCTCTGAGTGTGGCTGGCAAAGGCTTTCAGATCAGAAGTCCTCAAGTGATCCTCAGAAACTGGAGGACAACCCACAGGCTCCAACTAGAAATGACCAATGAGCCTTCATTTTTTTGCCTAGGGACACAATGGCATTTTGAGCAGGACAGTTCCTCCTTTTGTGGGACTTTTCTGAGTATTGCAGGACATACAGTGCATCCTTGGCTCCTCCCTACAAAATACCAGTAGCACTCCTGCCAATCATTGTGGCTACCAGAAATGTTCTTATGGGTTCTAGACATCCCCAGGAGAGCCAGTTCACACTTGGTTGAGGGACTCTGGGCTAAATCCCAGAGATAGACTGCCTGGCTTGGAGATACAAGAGCAACCAGGTTTGTGTCCTGACCAGCAGCGAAAAACCAGGAGATAAGGAGCTTTTTTTTTTGTTGCTTTGAGGAAGTTTATTTTTATTTTGTTTGTTTTTGCTGCAACTGGGAGGGTGTACAGAAACTGACAGACATTAATGTATTATTTCATTTGATTCTCGTAATTGTACAGATTAAGGGAAAATCTTACCTTATACAGGCCTACCTCAGATATTGTGGGTTTGGTCCCACACCACTGCAGTAGAGTTGTAATCTTTTTGTTGGTGGAGTGTTTTCCCTTCAATTTGTAAAAACAAAACAAAACTCAGTATCTGAAGTGCAGTAAAGCGAAACACAATAAAATGAAGTACGCCTACAGGTACACGTGCAGAAGCAGGTGTATCATAAATCTCTGTGTGCATTGGACCTTAGATCCTTAACTGATTATAATCTTGGTATTTCTGTGCCTTGGAAGCATCCAAAGCTGTGATTCTCAAAACAGGATACATCTGCACCCACCTGGGAATTTGTTAGAAATGCACATTCTTGGGCCCTGCCTCAGTCCCACTGAATTCGAAACGCTAGCGAGTGGGGATCAGCAATCTGGTTTTAGAGAAGCCTCAGTCTATTCAGATGTCCGCTAACTTGTGACAATCACTGACCGAGAGAGCTTTGAAAAGGCTGGTAACCTGCATTTTAACAAGCTCTTCAAGTGATTCTTAGTATACTAGTTTCCTGTGGCTGCTGTAATAATCACCACAAACTGGATGGCTTAAAACAATACACATGTATTCTCTTACAGTTCTGGAGGTCAAAAGTCCAGAATGAGTCCTATGGGGCTAAAATCAAGGTGTCAATTGGGCAGAGCAGATCCTCCTGGAGGATCTAAGGAGAAATGTTTCCTTGCCTTTTTCAGGTTCTAGAGGTCACAGGCATTCCTTGGCTCACAGCCTGAATCACATTGCCTTTTCTCCCTCTGCTTCTGTTGTTAGGTCTTCCTCATTCGATAATCTTATAAAGATCCTTGTGATTACATTTAGAGCCCGCCCAGATAATCCGGGATAATCTTGCCATTCTAAAATTCTTAGTCACATAAAGTAACAGTCAGAGAATTAGGAGGAAGACAGGATCTCTTTCAGGGGCCATTATTCAGCCTATGACATTCAGCTAGCCCAGATTTTAGAATTTTATGATCTAGGTCCTGGAGAGGGGTGCTCAATTCTGGCTGCACATTAGAACCACCTAAGGAGCTTTAAGAAAACAAACTGCCTTACCCTGTTCATCAGAACCTCTGGACTCTGGGCTTTGGTATTGAAAGCTCCTTGGATGAGTCTAGGGTCCAGCAGCTGACCCAGTAGGCATACTGAGAAGGATCCTGCTGCTCTTCAAGTGCAGGAGAGCTTTAGAGAATATAAGCTTTGAGGAAAATCTTCAAAAAATAATTGACCATTTTAGGAGGTGAACTGTATCTTCAAGAGGTGTCTGCCCATTAGAATATTATCTTGACTTTACAAGGGGAGGTTGGTTAAGTAAAAACCATGGATGTTCTAAGCCCTCAGTTATTTCTGACCAAAATGCAGTGTTACTTAATTTATTTGCTAAGTACCACAGACTGGGTGGCTTAAGCAGCAGAAGTTTCCTCACATTTCTGGAGGCTAAAAGTTAAAAATGAAGATGTCAGCGGGGTCAGTTTCATCTGAAGCCTCGCTCCTTGGCTGGCGGATCACCATCGTTTTTCTGTATCTTTACATGGTCTTCCTTCTGTATGTCTGTGTCCTAGTCACTTTTAAGGTCACCAGTCATAATGGATTCCGCCCCCCCGCCCCCGCAAAAAAAGACCTCATTTACAAAGACCCTATTTCCAAAAACAGTCACATTCTGAGGTATTGGGGGTTAGGATATCATCCAGATTTGGGAGACACAGTTGCTTCCATAACTGTCACCCATAAGGGTGGCTTACGAACAGGGTATCTTGTCAGAGGTGAAGCCTCCAGCTGTATTCATGGGCCAAGAACAGACCCATGCACGTTTTGAACAGGCCTCCCAGAATGTTTAACCACACTCTCCCCACCCTGGGATTTTGCAAAGATCTGGGAGTTGGGCCCAGAAAAGAGGACATTTCTGTGTTCTGTGCTTGCCAAGCTTGTCAGTGGCGACCAGAGCTGAAGGACTGAAATGCTCAGGTCAGGAACTGTGCCAGCTCGAGCTCTGGCTCTTACCTCATCATGAGCTCGGAGCACTCAGAGGCAGCTCATCTCCTTGGCAGGAGCTAGTCTCAGCTATTCGGGCTTCTGGTGTTTTGAGAACACCATCATGGCATTCTAGGCGTGCTTGGTTTCTTAAGGTAATGTGTCTAGGCCTCAGGGGTGATGAGTGGTTCTTGAAACCAAGCAGGGTATGAAATATCTTGGGTCTAGGTACCAGAGGAACTGGAGTAGTTTGAGCCCATTCACCGTTGCTGGAAGTAACCATTCTGTAATTCAACATTTAGATGAAATGTTCACAGTATCAAACTCTTTTTAAGGAGATTGACTTGGTGGTCTGTCAGTGGAAGAGTATGCGATGAACCACCAGTTGTTAAAATCTAGCAATGACCTTGATTGGCCATGGATCCCTATTCAAAACTTTATCTTGTATAATGAAGTCCTCTGGGGAGAA